TTGACATTGCGAAGGATGAGTTCCGAGTTGTTGAGAGCAGCTCCTCTTTATGAACACGAACCAAACTCCCAATCTCAAGCTGGCTCGAGACCAATCGAAACCAATCACAGCCAACTAACTAAATTACAAAACTAGTAAGCTACCAGACAAGTGTCATAAAATATACAAAAACCAAAATAAAATGTTGCTTTTTATCAATTTTTTTTGATTTTTTTCGAGTTTCGAAGAAAAATATACCATGTTGAGAGACTTTCAATTTTAAGAACCTTTTATGAGTGACACTTTTTCATGAAATTGAACCAATTAAAGGAGCTGGATCACAAGGTAAAAAAAATTTTCCCGCTGAGATTCTTAACATTAAAAACCACTTTTGAAACAAAGTCTATCGACTTTTTAGCGCCATTTCCAAATGGCGCAAAAAATCTGTTAAATGTTTTCTGCAACGAATTCGAATCGCACTTGAAAAAGTCCAACCCGTAAAAGATTTTTAAAAAACGCCCTAAATATAGTGACAAGAACAATGTTCCATTCCCATTCGAAGCATCACATTCCAAAACATCTCATACAATTATACCTCGATAGCCCACATTAAATAAAAAAGCCCATACTTGAGTAAAACGGATTAAAAAAAACTACTAAAAGATCTAAATGACCAAGGAATGGTGCTTATCTCTATACCGCTCAATAAATGAAGCTCAATGCAGCTGCCTCAATTCAATTGAGACACTATAAAAAGATAGTGCTAATTGTGAAAGACTCTTTTCTAAGCTAAGGATTGAAATTTAGTTTTCAACCTGTTATGGAGTCATAATTGAGAAAAGTATGAGCAAGTTCATAAACAGCCTTAGGAAACAATGAGAATCAAGGATCCTTTAGCTTTTAGGGCGAACTAACTTGCGTCGAGCCCTGTTAGTCAATTTTTTTTTACGATACATCCCTCTTGAAACTTGTGAAACCGAACTTGCCAAACCCGTGAAACCGAAAAAAAAAACACATGAGTAAATTATTCAAAATCAGTTTGTAAATTTACAAACAATTACATCTTTCAATTATAGTAAAAACTGTTTGAATCGAAACTAACAAAAAAAACCTAAGCGTTGAAAAGCAAACCAGATAAAATAAGCCGCATTTTTAAAAAAATAAAAATCAGCCGACCGAAATTGGGACAAAAAGTAAAAGTCCAAAAAACATCAACATTTTCCAATAAAAATAATTGAAAAAACTAATTGTAACCTCAAATTACTTAAGAAGTAATTTAATTGAGTTTTCAAGAATATGAAGCATGTCCGAGCAGCAGCAGCAGCAGCAGAAATTGAGCAGAAGAATTCGTATTGTCTAATACTGTATTACTAGTCACTTGCTTTGGTAAGAGAAACAATATTTGAAATACTAAAAGCTGCCGAATCTCAAAAAATGAAATGTTTCGAGCAAGCATAAATGTAAAGTGACACCACACCAACAACGGGTCGATGATTTCGTATTTTGCAAAAAAATTTTCAAAATAAATTTTTTGGCAGTTTTAAAAATCATAAAAACTCCATATCGCGAAAACTTAAAGAGGCTGGTCAGCCCTATTTGAAAACCAAATATAAACCTCCCGAGATTACTTTGACTGCATGCCCCCATAAGTTTGATAATTCCCAAATCTGTTAAGTTTTTTAAATCCATTTTATGAAATTTTTCCAATAAAAATCATGAAAAACGGCATAACTTGGAAACTAAAAAGATTAGGGTGTTGCCATTTGGAGGCCAATTTTATTAAAATAGGTAGCAAAAGAAAAAACAAAAATAACTATTGCTAAAATAGCGTACAGCTTGCGGACTAAACCATTCCATAAATTTAGTTTCGAAAAAAGTTTCAAATAACTTAACAGCAGTCAGTCTCTGTGTCTCATTTTTTTTATTTTCACACCCATCTTACGCAGCTTGTGACACTCAGAGACTGAGAATATTTGAGTTTTTTGAAACTCGAATCACGGCTGAGAGGACTTTAAAATGATACCACATTTACCCTTTCTAGCATTTTTTTGAGGTAAATTCACTGAAAAAAAAACAAGCTACGCCATAGTTCCTTCCCACATGACGTGGTCAGAGACAAAATATTTTTAAAAATCTTTGTTAACTTTTGGTCAAAATTTCGCCACGTGCAGCGAGAAAATTGATACTCAGTATAAAAAATACTAACATTGGTTTGAATTTAAAAATTTAAAAGCAAAATCAGCCAGGCTCTTGATCATCACATAAGCCTTTTAATTAGCCTGGCCGTACAATTGTACCTCCCACTAAAGATTCACTTTCCATAACCACTTGGATTCGACATCTTGGTTTCTGCTAGATTTAAACCACAAGCCTTTGCCGTCTCAAGAAGTTGCGTTACCTCTACGCCAGATGGTTGAATGAATTTGAATTTATAATTACCAAGCGGTAACAAGCCGAAATTGGCTGAGCAGAAACCCTTCTGGGCGAAAAATTGAAAGTAACAAAAAAATTGTAAGTCCCCTATCTCCTCAGAACACACACACTCAGAGAAAACTTTTTTCTTGCTCAAACGACGCACAAGGAGGACATTAAACCGATATGAAAAAAAAAACGAAATCATATAAGCCCACAAAAGTCACTCGTACAAAAAAAAAGCGATTTAAAAAGCGAAAATTTAACAACTTACCAAATTAAAAACAATGTAGAAATCAAATTTCATTCAAAAGGATTTTCAAAGAGCTCAAACACTTGAATCAACTGCAATGAAAATTGTTTACAGCAAAAATAAACTATTCTTTGATGTGACAGCAAAGCCAACAAAACACAAAAAGAAGACAAGAAACCGAAAATTCGTTACGTCCACGTTAAGTGTGTAGGAGACACTAAGAAACATAAAAACACTACGAAATTTTGTGTGAACCAAAATACCAAAAGGAGTCCAGGCGAGTCCTGTGAACAAAGTTGTTTACGGGAAAAATCTAGTACCTGATTGCAATACCCTTGTGTATCGCAAGGGTAAATGTCATACAATTAGATACGCTTTTTGATTAACTTTGCACAAAATCTTGCGATGCTGGCGTTGGAACTGATTCGATAACACAGCATTCGCAAGCTCTACTGTGCAAAAAAACTATGCTTAAAATTATTAGAAAACAGAGAAAAAAAACAGCCCTTTGCGAGCATAGACAAAAAACAGCAGCAGAAAACTCCTAAAATGGTAAAAGAAAAATAGAGTACTTTTACAAACTAAAATCAAAAGCAACAAAGACTAAAAAAATACTTACAGTTTAGTAATCCTCGAAACCACTAACTTGATAAAGTTTTAACGAAACTTGTGTTGTAATAAAAGTGGGCTGACCGTAAAGCACTACTCTCGCAAAGTCGCCTGTGTAAAAACGAAAATGAAAGGACTTAATACTTCTTCTTAGGACATCACACCTATTAGACGTTTCGCTGTAGCTCTCAAAACCTTGGCAAAACATTGCTAACAGATGTTTGGAAATCTTGAGTGAACTGAAGTAAACCGAAAAAAAATTGACAGAAAATGAAAAGAAAATCAACTTTCGCTTTGCAAAAAAAATAAATATCACGCAGAAGCTCTTTGAACTTCAAATACTGTTTAGGACTGACTTTTTTCTAATCTGAAAACTATCTTACTTAGAGAAAATACTTCTGCTAATCCACAGCGGATTTCGCCTCCATTTTAACTAAGGAAATGAACTGAACTTGAAAAGAAACTCGTACAACACTGCCGATACAGTGCAAAAACAATTTTTTAACACTGTTTTTACTCAACCCAAATCATTCCAAGTAATAATATTCAAATAAACGGAAGTTGAAAAGACAAACATAGCCAAAAGACAGTTGGAAAGGAATCGATGAACACAATTAAACAAAAACATTGACTTTACTTTTGAAAAACCTCAACTTTCGAATTTCAAAGAAAAAAACAAATGCCTTTAAAGCTCTTTGAATTTTTCAAACAATTTATGATTGGCACTTAGTCGATAAAATTAACCCAATTTGAGAAAACTGCATCAATAGGTACATTTTTATTTCGCTGGGAAATCTGAAAGTTAAATTCAATTTTCGAAACTAGATGTCGATCACGTTTTTCGTGGCCTTTCAACTTCTACTGTTCGATACTGGTGTTTGCCTTTCTTCTTACATAGGAAATAAGCTGGACTTAAAAATAGTCAAAAATAAATTTGAGTCTGAACAAATTTGAAGACTTTTCCTGAAAAAAAACCGAAAAAAAATCATCGCGACCTATATAGGAGTCTGAACTAAGTTCATCGACCATTAGAAATGGCCATTTTAATTGATGGCGCTTGTTAAACCAACAAAAATTCCCCAAGCTTCCCAGCAATTTTTGTGACAGTTGAACACATTTTCAGTTTCGGCACTGTTGTACTTCGGTACTGTTGAACGCCTGGTGAAAATGAATTCGTTCTTTTTCACTTAAAAATGATTGAAACCACAGTTCCTTTCAAATCTTTTAGAGAGGGTTTGGCAAATAAAATGAAATTTGTACATTCTCAATCTAAGTCTACATATATGCCGAAAAGACTTCTATAAAAGAAAAAGTAATAATTTGTGAAAAGGATATGTATTGAATTTATACTCAAATCAATAATGGTCAAAGAACCCAACTTTATTCATTTAAATAGTTACAAATTCACTTATATTGAACATGTAAAACTGCTAAGCACGTTCACAGATGAACGCAAAATGAGTTTTTCCTTTTTGAAATATAAAACAACAATAATCATTTGCATAAGGCCTTATTCGACTCGTTTTGACGGATCTGCGACTCGTTTTGACGGATATGCCATAACATCCCACTTGCTAAAATATCTGTTTTTTTTTGCCACAGGGACAGTAAGCAACTAGATTTATATAAAAAATCATCATTCGATAGCCGAGGCATTGTACCAACACAAAATGAGAAGTTTTCAACTTAACAGTATACTGATTGAATTAATGATCACATCCTAATTTCTCTTTTTGAGATAGGAGACTAAATTTTGGCATATAGGGTGTAAAAGGGCATGGGATATTTTGTCAAGTGGGATATAATTGCACATGTGATAAATTGCCCTGCTACCTCTGCTCAACTCTCTGTAGATTGCTCCCCCAGATCATGAGATTAGTCATTCACTAATGACGAAAATTCATAACCACATTCCTATAACCATACTTTTTGCGTTTTGATAAGCTTTGTATTGATTCAAACTATCTCGAAAACAAATTTTTTCACGCTACACATTATATAACCATAATTCAATTTATCTGGGAAACAATTTTTTTCACGCTATACATTATAGTACCATGCATGACATTTAAATCAACTCTTTATGACAATTTCCGTTCGTCCATTTCTTTAAAGGCCGCTCCAAGCGCCCATGAAATTTCCTCTCCGTTTACTTTCTTCACAACGTGCATTCTGAAATCTGCGGGTAGTTTGAAGGCACGAGCAAACAGATAATTGATGTAAACTGTGTCCAGACACTGGAACCTCTGATTGATTAGCTGACTTCTGCAAGCATCCTGGGCTATTCTGGCGAAGTCTTGGACTGTCACCACGGATCCCTCAACTCCAGAAACCAGACCTCCATCTTTCGCTTTGTCGTATATATACGAGAAGGCGTATAAGTCTTTAGTGAGTAGTTCGTTGATTGGAGTGATAGCACCTAGGAAATTTGTATTCATATGAAGATACTTTTTCTGCTCAATTAATAATTACCATCAATTTCGAGCGTTCAAAATATTACGCATTGGAATCTACCACCCCTCGTAGTCTCGTCATAAATCGATATTCTCACCTTTAAAAGATCAAGACTATTTGATCAAACAAGAGGGTAAAGACCCAACATACAAGTGCTTCAGCTCTTCGTGCAGAACTGCAGTTGCTCCTATAATTGCAAATATGCCAATTTTTCAGTTATTTTTTTCTGGGCTAGTAAAAGTTAAGTTAAACGCAAGCAAATAGAAGAGATCACGTTAGGCCTCCAACAATCGATTTTTCTATTAAGAGCAAATCTAAATTACATTTTTAGGCCTTATTTAGCCAAATGCACTTTATTCACACTAATTTCGCATTTTAAATTCTCACCTGAGAATGTTTCCTCGACAGAATTTAGACAGTTTTCATATGATGAACTTGAACTTCCTTGAATTTTGAAGCTAGCTCCTCCGTGTTCCCAGTCCCCTTCATATTTTTCAGGCAAACAGGGACTAGTTAGTACTTCTGCGCCATCAATTTGAATCTTTTTCAACAACTTTTTTCTCGCCTCTTTTAAACCCATGCCGAGGTAACTTCTAACATATACATTCCTAGTCATACCGGCCACTGGTATAGTAAGTACATTGCTTTTTGCTTCAACTGGTAATTGTTCCTGACTTTCAGTCTCAAATATGAGCTGAAAAGAGCCCCCGCCCAAATCCAGTGCTGCAGTTTTCATCGGCACTGGCTCCCAGTCGTCCAGAAAGTAGTTGAGACTGATCCAGGCGAAGAGACCCTCGTCAGTTCCGTCCATTATTTGTGCAAGTTGAGGCAGTGTTTTGAACTTGTAGTTGGACTGCACAAATTTCTCCACCTAAGACAGTTAGTTATAACCAGGGAATAGAAAAAGTAAAAGGTTGGTCGTAAAAATAACTTTAAAATTTTTTTTTGCAGTTAAGTGTAGAAAAAAGTTCTAACTTCGTCTTATAAATGCATGAACCAACACTTCCGTGCGTTCTCCATGGGTATTTCCTGACAATCACGCAGCTTTTGCTTCAAAACCCTGATAAATTTTTCGACTTAAAATGATGTGGACCGAGCATAAACTAAATTGACAGAACTTTTCATCAACTCCAGCTCATGTTGCTTTCTTCAAATTCCGATTTTTAGCGCAAAATTTTAATTACGAGCAAAAAAGAGTTTTAAAAAATAATGGTACTGTCATGGACATTGACAACTGACATTGACAGCTCGGACACCATTATTGAAAATACCATAATAAGCACAGAGAAGAAGCTTTGCTTCGCAAATACTTGCGAAAACACGACGAAACGCAGCTCTATAAAGTATAGTAGAAAAATTAGAAATAAGCCTCCAATTAATAAAAACCGTCTACGTCTGAAATTCGAACCTGCGACCGAGAGCTTAAGAGTCTAACCACTCAGCCACGGACGCTTAATAGGCACAAAACACAAGCCACAAGTAAAGCAGAGAGCAGATGCTATGCAATTTCCATGGTTACAGTGAAACTTTCAAATAAGTGTACACTTTTAATGAACATTTTTGATTGCGAGTTAGATTAGAAAAAAAGAAGGTTCGTAATAAAACACTAAGCTGATCGCAAGTGTATAAAAGTAAAATTAAGATACCATAAATAAAAAATTAAAAATCTCAATTTGAATTGTTTGATATCAATTTATTGAGTTAAGACCACGCACACACACACACACACACATACCAATTCCTTTTAAAATACGAACCCTGTGGGCTAAGAGGTCCAATACCTCCAACATTTAAATCCCATCAAGGCAAGAGAGAAGTAGTATTTTACAGAAAATTTATGCAACCTACTGTTTCATGCAAGTATTGGATTATTAATCTACACAAACAAGATATAGTAGATCAAAATTGTTTTTGAAGTACCAATCAATCCAAAAGGAAAGATTTAAAATACAAACTATTTTTCGCTGAAGAGTTCCACTTGTATAAATAACTGAAGAATTTTCTAAAATACTTATTCCAATAGTCCAATTCAAAATTTGAAAACGATCGTTTTACTGAGAGTCAGATGAAACAAGTTAGATTGCAAAAAAGTTAAGACTATACTCAAAGCAGTCAATAGATGGTAGGTTGAGCAAATTTTTAATTCTATATTATAATTTAAACTTTTATTTAAAAAAATTATTTTCTTCAAGGTAACCGACACCAATCAATGTTTTCTTTAAAAAGTACCTTTTGTAAATTCTTTTTTTCTCAATTTTCAGACCAAAACTTCATAAGAAGATAGATTTTTGGAAATCCAGAAACCAATTTCCTAAAAATTTGGTCTGATTTTACCAAAAAAAAAAATATTCTGGCATATCTTGGTATTAGTTATAAATTCTTTCGCTATGCAAACAAAAATCGAAATGCTTGAAATGAGTCAATGAACGCAAGGAAACAGAAAAAAGAGCCTTGTTTCTTTTTAATTTTCAATTTTGAAATTTCAAAGAAAAGAATATATGCCCTTAAAGCTCTTTGAATTTATTATTGGCACTTAATATCAAATTAAACCAATTTGAGCAAGGTGGATCAATAGGTAAAGTTTATATTCAAAGTTTAAATAAAACTTATAGGTAAAGTTCATAGGAAAAGAAGCTTTCCCGTTTTACAAGCTTTTTCCGTTTTAAACGCTTTTTTAGTTCAGCAGTAAAGCCGAAAAATCATCCCACAAATCTTAACGCAGAAAAAATGAATAAATGAAAGAATTACAACAGAGGCGACAAATTCTGGTTAGATGAACGTTAAGACGGAACAAAAAGACCTAGAAAAACTGAAAGATAACGATTTTTGAAATTCGAAATTGTATGTCAACTCCGAAGCACACAGACATTTAAGTCAAAGAAACCTTTAACTCGAAACCTACAAAACCTTGGAAGTTATCTGCAAAATCAAAAACTTTAAATGGTAATTTTCAACGTTTAAATATGCCGAACAAAAAAATTTAGCGTTATGAAACTAAGCAGAAAAAATAGGCTGATACACCATAATGAGAAAATTCACAAAAATTTTTGGTAATTTTCTGAAATACTTCAGAGATATTTCAAAAAAAGTGACTTTACCGTGAACCTATTAATAAGAAAATTAGTTATATCTTTAAAGAGTTAGTACACTAAGTAGCCAGAAACCAAATCCAAAGCAATAAACGAAAAAAAAATGAACAAAAAGCCATGCAGTTGAAGTAACTTATATTCCCGCTTTTTCCTTACTTAGAGAAACGCTTCGTGAGTATTAAACAAAAACCGAACTTTCCTGAACAAAAACTATTTAACAAAAATTAAAATTTACTCTGCTCAAAATTGATTTTACAGAATTGTACAGAAGGGAAAAAAAGAATAGAAAAAGAAAACAATAAAATTAAACAAAAATAGAAGCAAAGATTTACTTTTCCGTTAATTTTTTTCTGATCTGATAGCAATTAGAGTTTTCTTAACCCGAGCCTATCCTGAAAACCGTTAACGCTGCTAGAAAAATAGGCTACAGAGCATTTAATCCAATATAAAAACCAGTTGACGAACAAATGATTGTCAGATTATGCCAAAAAATCCTGCATACATCATTATTTCAATTGTCTTCACCAAAAATATTTGCTGAAAAAATCATGCCTACAAAAAGCAGCGATTAAATTTTCGAATAAATCAATTTCAGTGAAAACAAAAACAAAACTTTTAAAATTTGAACAAAATCTGATAATTTTTTTATTTCGAGAGAATGAAGGCCGACATACAATAAGCTGAAAATAAGTTGAAACTTTTTGGGAGAAAAAATCATTTCAAAAAATGAATGTACCGCCTAGAAAGCACAATAACGAACCCCTACATAAGCCGCGGCACATGTAACATGCAGATTGAAAATGAGTAATGTACCATTTCTAAGTTACTACTTGTAAATTGACCATTCTGTGAAATATTATTTACGGGAAAAAAACCTAGTACCCGGTTGAAATAGCCTTGCTTATCGCAAGGGTAATAACCCAAATTTCATTGAAATTATCAAAATATCATCCTCACTCATTCATTCATTGTTTTCGATTTCCCGTTTTTGAGTCAATCGTCTGAGCCGAGAGAAACTGGATACAAAATTTTGCTATTCAGACTATTGTACTGCTAAGCCAAGTAAAAGTCTGATTAGTTAAAGGCTTAAGAGTCTGATTTTAACTTATTTAAAGTAATTTTAGTTTTTTTGAAGCTGAATATCAATTCTGTCGCTAATTATTTGAGGAAAAAATTAGCAAATAATAAAAACTTGATTTTAGAATGAAAATTTGTCCCAGTCAAAAGAACAAGCATATTTCAAACCTCTTTGTAGTTCGGCTCGGCAAAATGGCCAAAAATTATCTTACTCAAAAACACTTGAGGGCTTTTTCATGCTAAACAAAATTAAATGAGCATGCCTTTAATTCTCATTTTAGTCCTTGAATGATTTGACTACAAGAGTGGAACATGTTTAACGAGCAAATTCACAGAATAGCTAGTAATCAATTTAAGCACCTAGTGTTTCTATTACTCTGCTAAAACGCCAATTTTCGACCAGCAGTGAAACTTTGAATCTTGATTTATATAAAATAATAATAATAATGATAAATTGTTTGCAAATTAGATTCCATTTATTGTAAAAGTTACTACATTTACAACCAAACGAAATCTCATTGCGAGAACGCCGTGGAACTATGCAGCCCGTTTTCAGGCGCCTCTGATCCTGTTATGACTTCTGTTATTTTTTAATATCGATAGTTAATCAAGAAGTCAAAAAAAAGAAAAGAAATACTATCTCACATTTTCCTCCGACGGAAAATTCGTGAGCAGGAATTCTTGCTCAATTACAACCTGGTTTTTTTAAAAAAAATTATTATAATTTACATAGTCTGTTTAAATAGTTAATGTCCAAATTTAGGCAATATTGTGACCTAAAGCGAATTAATCCGTTACAAAACTATGCATTTTACATGAGCTAGATTTTTTCACCAAATTTTTTTTGCGTTGGAATGAGTGAAAGTTTGGATGCCGACGTGAAACTATAAGTTTTATATTATTTACACGAAGGAGCAGTTTAGGGTTATTAAACTTCGCCCAGATTTGTTACGCAAACAGATACTGCGAAACTAGAAATCGTTCATGTTTTCAGCGCCATTTCTGCTTTGGTAATTGGTGAGCACAATTTATCTTATTTTTAGCAGGTTAATTTGAATTGAACTCAAAAAATGAATATATTTAAGTTCATTCATAAAGGCATTGATATGTATGAAAGCACTTCTGTAGCTATAAGAGCATTTTAGAACTTTTTCCTGGAAAAAAACGAACAAACATAAAACCACCATGACCTATATAAATCAAAGTCACTACGTTCTTTTACACTGAAAAAACGGAACCAAGCCAAAAATTCAGATGTGTAAACCGCCATCTCTTTTTTTGCCAAACAAAAATTTAAGTGCAAAATTTCAGTGGTTACCTCTTTCAAAATATTGCTAGCGACCTCTTCTGATAATATTCTCAGACCAGCTGTGGCTTTGACCTTCACAACTGTATGATGATGGCTATCCACTGGCACCTTTTGATGAGCGAAGTCCAGTAGGGGCTTCAGACTCTGGGCTGCTTGTTTCGGATCCTTGCCGTAGGATGAGAGTCCCGGTTCCAGAGGGTAGAAGTCATCTTTAATTAATTTATAGCCATCTGATCCAGCTTCTTTTAGTGTAAACACGTGAATGCGGGATCCAGTACTTCCAGCATCGATGATTATGACGTAATGTGTGTTGGATGAAAGTGATAAAAAATCGAAAGGTCCATAGTAGACAAAACCAAATAACAAAGCAGCTCCGATTATTAATACAATAGGTTTCGGCAAGCGCCCTAGAACAGAAAACATTATATGAATCATACTAACAAATGAAATCCTGAAAATTAAATGAGAACAGTTCAAAATAAAATAATAATATTCATCTACAAAGATGAGCGAAAACGAGTAAGAATTTAAAATTTGAAAGCAATTTCACAATGAAAATAAATCAAGCCATACAGGGGCAGATTTAGGGTCCCCTCGGAGATTCAACCCCCTAGCGACCTACAACAAAAAAAAATTTGAAAAGCGCCAATCTCTACTAACTTGGAAGGGAAGCGCGCGCCAAAAAAAACGCAATTTTCGACCTGTGTTTTTTTAAAGCTTGGCCGCGGCGGAGAAAATTGGGTCATTATGGTCTTTTTGGAGAGCCCAGAAAATAAATTTGGTCGACCTAAGCAAAAGCCAGTCCCCGTGAGAAAACCCTAGATCTTCCCCTAATCTCATACATGCAAAGCAATGATGCAACTGGCAAAATGCAAAAAAAATTAGTGCTATATAGTGGCAAAAATTCCCTGCAAATGTTGCAATGCCAACTTTTCAAAAAAAACTTCCATGTGCGCAAGGTATAAAAAAGACCAGTTGTGCATTCAATTGTTGATTGAGATTTCTCTTGAATAAAGTCAGAATTCTTATCAAAACCACAAACAAAACGTTGTAGAAAGTTTTTAGGGATTCAAATTTTCCAAGACAATCAATACTCCAGCTATGTTGACAATGAATAATCGATTTGAAAACATTTATCCACGAGGAAAAGAGCCAACACAGAGGCGTAGACTACCCCCCCCCCCCTTCAGACTCTGTTAATACATTATAGTTTTCGATAAACAAATTTATAATTCAAATTTAAAATAAATACCATTTGGGGAAAAAATTCTTTGATGCTTTGTAGATCGACCATGCAATGATTAGCACATAAACAACGAAAAATAAGCAAAACTAAACAAAACTGCCGTTGGAGAAACGTTAAAAAATACATTTAGCAAAAGCAAAACAACTATCTTAACATCAAACTAAAGCGCTCTTTCAATTTCATGTCACATTTACAACTGACTTTATTTATTTTCTTTTTTAAATTAAAATAAATTAATACTTCCTAATATTTTGAGGGTTTGAATTTAAAACAGATAACTTCGCCTTTTCTTAACTTCGCCTTTCTTAAACAAGACCTGCAATATCAAAAGTCTTAAAAAATAGAATTGAGCACGATCCGACTTTGAGACACTACATTCAGAGACTCAATATTTTTCCATTCTAGGTTTGAAAACAGACATGGCATGGTCTCAGATTGACAAACAAACAAAATGTTACCTGTCTTTGTCTGACCTGAAAAACTACAGATCTTCAGAAGAAACAACTGCAGCAGGCCAACGCAGAATTGCTTCGTCTGTATGTAAAGTGTATAGCTTCGAGGCATTATTGACATGAAGTAACAAAAAGAAAAATAATTTTGTAATTTTGAGCTTAACTTAACTCAACAACAGTTCAGTAGTGACTGGCGGTTTCTATGATTTTTAGTTTAAATTAGCAAGTGGTATTTAAACTGTGTTCTACATTTTGACACACAAGCGCAGCTGTTATTTGCGAACACAAGCGAGAAAAGGGCAAAAAGTGAAAGAGGAAAGAAAAGGTAAAAACTCTGCTATGTGCAGGAATCGAACCACCAAACTGAAGATTAAAAATCAAACGTCCTAGCATCTGCACCATGGGCGAATAACAATAGTTATGCACTAGGAGCCTAACTAAAGCTGGAGGTGTCTGTTTGATAACATTTTTTAAGAAAAAAACGTACTGATGCGGAAGGTAATGGGTTAATTCCAATATTCAAATTCCAATACAATTCCAATACAAGTGCCAAATGATACTATTTTTGAAGGCGAGCGCGCGCCGAAAACAGCAATTTTTTGATCAAAACCTTAAGAAAATTTTAGCTTTTTTTATCATAAATTTGCCTACAAAATAAAGAACGTAGGGTCTTTTTCTTGTGTTTTTGAAAGAGCTCGGCAAAACCAATTAGGACAATCTAAAAAAAAAGTTGGGAGAACTTTTTTTTTTAAAATTGACGAGAACCAACATTTTCGAGAAAACCCCAGATCCTCCGAAATAAATGATGTATTATCAAACTGAGGCCAGCAGATAAAATCATATGCTTGAGTCTTACAATACAAAACTGTTTGTGGCAAAATTGCCCGTAGAAGTTTTCTGACCTCGACTAGATGAGTCACGCATTGAGGTTCGTGAACTGAGGTACTTTTCTTCTTTCGAGTCGTGTCTCTTCCTCATTTCGTCTGTCAACATTGAAAACAAGATCAATTTTGGTTGATCTATGGCAGATTACTCACTATATCTATATACATACATCTGAAAAGAAAAGACTTTTAAAAGACGAGGACCGTTTGACTTTTAACTCAGTGCTATAAACTGTAAGGATCAAAAGCTTAGAAAAAAAATGGTAAAAATGGTCCACAAACAGTTCGAAAATAGGAACAAAATTGAACAACAGTCTGTATGAACAACAATTTTTACAATATACAAGGTAATGTTGACAGTTTTTTAAAATTCAAAAACAAGAAAAATCAATTTTCAGATAAAAAGCTGGTACCAACTTACCAGATAATTTCTGACTATTTGTTAAACAATTCTGTTTTCCACCATCAATGAATACAGAAATATATGCGAGACGTTTTCTGAAACCAAGTCAGCTATTACTGGCTGTTTGAGTATATGGTTACGCATATCTTCGATACATTACACTGCGCAACTATTATCTTACTTAAACATGCGACCAAATTCTAAGGCCTGTCACATTGGAATTAGTGCCACAAGTACCAACACTACAGCAACTAAACCAACCGAAAACGTTTTTGTCTATAGCAGATCGAGTTGTTTCAAACAAAACAAGACTACTCGTATCAGGGCGAAGCCCTGAATGTTCCCACTGCCTTTTAGGAATTATGGAGCAGTATTAACATAAGAAAATTAAATGTAATATACATTAAACGAAAAAAATTTTTTTTTAAAACTTGAAATTTTTTTAATGAAAATCATCCCCCCACACGCCATATAAAGTACAAAAGAATAGATTTCGCTCCTTATAACAAATCAATTATGGCAAATAAGCTTCTTTCAACCAATTTGGAACGATTTCTATGACGGGTTAAATCTCCGCTTACGCGTTAATAGCGCGAAATACATCGCACTTTAATTGTCCCAAATTGGCCAAAATGACAATCTTTAAACCCCCATAACTTTACGAAAAATGATCACAGGTAAAATATCTTTTCAAATTTAAGCCCAGGACAACAATAGCTCTCGAATGATATAAAAATATTCCGTCAAAAATGGCTAGTTAAAAAGTCGAAATTTGTCTGAAGAAAAAAAAACCCACCCGAGCACAAATATTCCGTTACTTTCGTATCGAAAGTCGGAACAATAAAACGAACTTTTTTATATTTAAGAAATTCGTTTTGAAAATCATCCCCTCACGCCAAAGAAAGTGCGGTACCACGACAATTCGCAAGAAAGACAGACAACTCGCAACAAAAACTTCTTTTCAAAGTTTCTTTTTTGATTAGTTGTTTTACGTGTTATGGAAAAGCGCGTGATGTTACGATGTAAACTATACAGATCAAATATATTAACATTTATTAGTTTGTTCACCATGCGGATTTTTGACAAGTTTCATCGCACAGTCAACAGTTTAACAGGCATGATCATAAATTTGCTTCGTACCTTACATAGTAACATTGCGCGTTAAGCCATAATAAAAACAAAGCGGGAAGGTCACACTAACATATTAGTACTGAAAAACTTTCATGTAGGTACATAAGGATTCAGCTCAGAGTCGAAAAATGACTAACTTTCAAAACCCAGCTTACAATCTCCAAACTTAACTGCCAATAACTTTAAAACCCAGCTTACAAGCTCCAAACTTAACTGCCAAAAACTTTTATAACAAAACCTGCAAAAATAATTTTGATAAAGTTTCTCGCCAAGTATTTAAAATTGCCTGAGCTAAATCCCCCAAAACACTTCGGTACGAAAAAAAATGCATTGGAAGAACGGTTAGCGTACACGACAAAATGCATACATGCATTCATCACCTATACAGAAACTACGAGTGAACATCTACTATTTCTAATTTTGCCCTTCCGTTAGCAAAGTTGTTCATGGCAAAAAAGCCTAGTACCCGATTACAATACTTAAAAAGGTTTCTATGTAGTAAGCATCACGTAGCTTTTTCAAAAAAAAACCGAATAGAACGAGGTTATCCGAAAAACGTAAGGTCTCAAGCATGGACAACTACCAGGTTAGATTACGAAAACAAAATCTAAAAACAATTAATTTTGAAAGCACTAAAAATAAAATCGTTTTTAGTGCTTTCAAAACTAATTGTTTTTATTTTTTTTGTGTGCCTTCAATAGTGCGAAAATTGAAAAATTATTAACCAGGAAATTTATCCAGTCGAAACGGAGCTTCGCATCCCTCGCGACCCGTAAAATATCATTCATGCCGTGAACTATTCAAAAAATTTGTTCACCATAATAACTATCATTTGACTGTTACTCAAATGACATGAGCGCCAACTCAGGTAACTGTATCGCTTCCTTTTCTTAGTTTTTCAGAATTGGAAGTTCAATTGTTTATTTAGTATATAAAAATAATTTGAAACGGGTAAACCATCAGTCGTTACTTAATATGCCCCATGCCTTTCATTTATCATCTCCAATGCAATATTTATGATATTGTTCATGTATACAACTTTTGTGCTAAATTATTCAAAAAACTATAACAGATGTATAACCATAACTTTGGAGAAATGTTTTCTTACAAAAAAGCGGAGCGGAGTTTCAACCAATTGCAATACAATACAGAAAATCACGTTGCCATTGTAAAATTACTATTGAAACGAAATGAATCGAACGACAACTAAGCAAAAAAAAACTTGGGAAGATGACCTTTGAGCCGGAAAAAAATGTCACGAAAATGTTAGAAATGCTCAGAAAGAGGCAAAGCTGAGCTTCGCATCACTTGCAATACAAAACCAGAAAGCCGTGAAGTAAAAAAAAAAACAAAAAAAATCAAAAAGTCGAAAAAACTAGATCTAACAAAATGAATCAGGCTAGTTTTGAAGCAAAAACACACCAGGACAACTGAATGCGAAGTTCAATTGGAAAAAAACTTACCTAGCGGTAACGAAGCCGACTAAAAAATGATTAACAAGTCCTCTCCCCTCAAAACACACACACGTGCATACAAGTTTTTTTCGCTCGCCGAAAGACACAATATGAGGCCATTGAGCCCATATAATTTAAGCCCGAAACCTATCCGGTCGAGAACAAAAAACAAAACAAAAGCCTGAAAAAATCTTCCCATGAAAAACTTGAGCTCTTATTTCCATAAAGATTTTGGCGATTTGTGCAATCCAGTGAGCATAAGTGAAAGAGTATATATAAATGGGATGGTTTTTTATTCACAACAAATATGATTTTTTATCAGGAAATGTTGACAAAATTTTTCACAGCATCTGAAAAAAGTCGATGCCTTGAGTTGAAGATATTTCAGCTGTGATTATTTATCACGAAGCTATGAGGGTTTGAATATGTGACTACTTTTGTCAACACAAAGTCAAGTCCGCAAAACTTCAATTTTTTATTGCCGTGCAGCAAATGCCGAGAATAAAAAAATCTAATTGAGGTATTCATCTATAAATAGATGCTAATAATAACTTTCTACTTTGCATTGAGGGTGACGAACGTTTTTTAACACATAGTCAAATCACAGCTTCGCATAACTTGAGATACATCCCAAACATAGCATGGCAAGCTAGCAGAAGGAAAAAACTCGAAAGCTAGTTAAAATCTTTTTTTTATACACTTTTCTCAATAGAGTTAATTTTGAGGAAAAAAACAAATACCAACTGGTTAGCATTAAAACAGCATTTATGGATCAGTAACTAGGCCGACCAAATTTAAGTAGACGACATTAAAGTAAAAAAAACCGGTCATGTAAAATTTTGAGCTACGATTTTCGAAACTTGCTTCTTCAAATTTCACACAACCCCACAGCACACAATTTTGAGCCAATAGAAGACTAGCTGAAACCTTTAAGGCGGAATGAACATTTGAAGCAAAAAAATGGAAACAAAAACATAGCCAACAAACAGTTGGAAAAGTGTCGTCAATGTACTCCAGTAGCACAATAATTGCACCACAACGGACAGCATAATTTGCAACTGAAATTCAGTTGACCTTTCCAGCAATGAAATTCTTCTTTCCAGCGACTGAAGTTCAATTGAACTTGAGAAAAATTTAAAAAGCGGCCAAATATCAAATTTGAGCGTCATCGAATTTTAAGACTTTTCCTGATAACCTGAAAAAATGTTTGTTCTGATTCGATAACGCTTTTTTTCTCTATTTTCTTAATTTTTTCTCATTGTTTTTCTTTAATATCAAATATTTAAACCTGAACTTAGTTTGAACAGCGTAAATAATAGTCGAACTATTCAGGGCTTAGCCCTAAAACGAGCAGTCTTGTTTACTCTTTCCGCTTTTCAAACATAGATCTATTCAAACCAGACTGCATGTCAAAAACTTTTGTTCATTGTTTTTTAAACATTGTCAAAATTTTGAACCAAAATTTAGTTTGAACAATCTTAATAATAGTCGAACTATTCGGGGCTTAGCCTTGAAACGAGCAGTCTTGTTTATTCTTTCCGCTTTTCAAACATGGATCTATCCAAACAAGACTGCATGTCAACCACTTTTTTTTCATTATTTTTTTGAACTTTGTAAAAGTTTTGAACCTAAATTTAGTTGAAACAGCCTAAAAAAATTGTCGAGTTCTCTGGGCTTAGCCCTGAAATGAGCACTCTTGCTTAATATTTCCACTTTTCAAATATGGAACTATTCAAACAACACTGCATGTAAATCAGGGCAAAGCCCTTAATTGGTCTCCAATAATTTTCGGCTGAAAAAAATCCGTATTTTTGAAAACGTTGGAATATATTTTGGATTGTCAATAACTATATCAAATACAAAAGTTTGATCAGTATAATGAATTAAATTGATCAATTGGCTGGTCTGACTTTAATTCGGGAAAAAAATTTTGTGCGGATATTAATATGTGTTACGCATTCAGCATTATAGCTGAATTGTTCGAAGTATTACACAACCAGCTTACTTAAACTTTAATCGTATTTAGAAATGTGCGTATCACACACGCGTGTGAACATGTTGATTTCAGGTTCGATCCCCACTCTATAACCTTCTTTCAGGAAGAGGTCTGAAGAAAAAAAATACCCCAAGCAAACATATTTCCCACTTTCTTCGAACAACAAGCTCCTGATAGTTTTTGTTATACACTACACCAAAATATTTTCACTGATACAGTAAATACTTACTCGCTTGATTCGTCTCGATTTCTTTTTTCATCGAATTACTGGCCTAGCATTGAGCAAGCGCATTCGAGTATACTGCACCAATATAATTAATAACATATAACATATTTCGTATAACAAATTCAAGCTATTTTTATCACGCTAGTGGTATCCGACAGTGGATAAGTTTATCATGGCCGCTATGATAAAAAAACGAACAATTTGTTCCGGCTCTAAGACCCCCAGGAATACTCGGTTATCTAAATTTCATACTCCTCAGGCAATTTGTTATGGATGTATGTACAATGGTGATATTTCCGAATAAGATTTCGTTTTTAAGTCGCCCCTTACTGCTGCCCCATAACCAGTGCATGCCGTCTAGTCAATTGTTTTGAAA